GCTTCACTTATCTGGGAAGTCTCATCAGCCCCTGGTGTGTGACGAAATCTCAGCACGGATACAGAAGGCTCGACTAGTTTTTGCCAACTTGCGTCATTTGTGGCGTAGGCGAGATATCCGTCTATCAAACGAAGGACGTGTTTACTGCGCAGCAATTCGTTCCGTCCTACTTTATGGCAGTGAAACATGGCCAGTAAGAGTATAGGATATTCGTAGGTTACTAGTATTCGATCATAGGTGTCTTCGAAACATTGCTCGTATATCCTGGGACCACCGAGTAAGTAATGCAGTTGTTAGGAAACGGGTACTAGGTAAGGATGGCAAATCAATTGATGAAGTAGTGAAACTTCATCAATTGAGATGGCTGGGACATATGTTACGTACTCCCAACCACCGACTGCCACGACAAGCGATGTTTTATGATGTAGGAGTAGGATGGAAGCTAGGAGTGGTCAGACCAAAACATGGCACAAATCCATGAAGTCACTGACAAGTGAACTGAGTCATGTTGGTAGGTGTAGACTACTTGGTTGGGGTCCGCGAGACGATAGCAACGGATGGTTAGAGACCTTGAATGACATGGCTCAAAATCGTTTGCAATGGCACAGGTGCATCCACTCTTTGTGTTCTCTCAAATTCTAATCTTCTGAATCCTTCGTGTCCTTTACTTTCTTTCCAAATTTATTCCACTGGATTAAACTCCTTAAATAACATTATCACTACTTATACTTTCACTACCTCTACCACTACGGGATTTGAATCGATAACTGCATCGCTGTGCCAATGTGGTATGGCAACTCGAACCGATGTACGTACGTACGAAGTTCCACGTTGTTGTTGACTGAATAACTGACTGACATTTCAAGGCCTTCAGTTTTCTTTTTTTTAGGATTCTCGCAGAGTTGGACGGATTATTTTCCTCCTTGGAATTATGGAAGTTAACTTAATTTTGAACTATTAATATATAAATTGTAAATTTCATGCTATATCATAAAATCTGAGTTTAACTTATTCATGGTATTTATGATCTTATTCATACAGTAGTTCATAATCATATAATTACATATATTCATTTTGGCTATACGATCAAACCATACTCTCATTTTATGACCATACATAATCGTATTCGACGAAGAATTGCATTTCATTTCTGTATTCTATTCCTTAAGGAATATATAATTATATCGTATTTGGATGCTTTAGCTCATGTACTTTTATATTTACAGAATCTATTCAGACCTCTACCTAATATCAAGAAATATATATAATCATGTATGCTAAAGCACTGTACTCATTATTTCATGAACTGTCATTTGAATCGTATTTGGATGCTATAACTCATTTAATTTCCGAAATTACCTATTCAATTCGGTGAGTCTGTCACAGTTTTTTAACAGTATTTTTATCCAAAAAGCTGTTTCATATATTTTTTCATAAAGAATCATAATCTTTTAAACTACATATTTCTGCACCTCCCAATGTTTACTAATGCGGACTTTCCGTTTATAAATGTATCACATTCCGTATTCACTTTGATTGTTTGATACTAGTTATCTACATTTCTAAATTACTTTATTATATAAGGCTATCTTTCGTGTAATATATATGTTAAGATTTACACAACGTGCTCCTTTATGTTCTATTTTGCCTCCACACATCTCCACTGCCATCATCTTGCCATTCTCATCTCTTGTTTTTGACACCACTAATCCCCACTATACATTCACTCTTGGTTGAAAGATAGGTTTTAATTGCTAGACTAACTTAAGCCTTCGGCATTGATTTTTTTCACCCATTTATATTTTCAACATTTTGTTCAATCCATCTGCTTTACGTCACTTTCTTATCATGCCACAAGAGAAAATGAAGACCCCTGCTTTCAGGCGTCCAGCCGAACGTAGGAAAGTGAAACAATCTAACACTACTACTGACACAATTTCCGACAGTTTCAATGAGACGAGATACTCTGTTCATCCGGAAGCAGACAAGCTTTTACTGTGATGATAATCGCAACTGCAACCAAATAGATTATATAAAAAAGTTGCAAGTTGACATGAACATTCTCAATCCGCCTAAATATTTCATCAAACCCAACCTCACACAGACTCCAGATCAAATGAATGACACAAGTAATTTCCTAGATCGTGTTGTATCAGAGGTAGTTGTGCTGATGACGAATGGGATAACGCAGTCCAAATCAATGTTAGTGAAACACCCAGTTACAGTAGCTTTGCAACGGATAACAGGAAAGCCAATCATAACATTTTTTTAACTGACCACACACTTAACGTCGATATATTCGAACCTCTGAAACCATCGCAAGTATGTTTAACAGCACACGATTTTCCCCAAATTATGAAGAACCAGAAATTAACCACAAACCTTGGAAATAAACGTCTGGAATATGTTACCCGTACTTCAGTTATATATAGTAATCTGGATTGTAAATGACCACTTAGTCGCACACATAAACCTGATAGCCTTCTTGGTCCGGCTCCTAATATATACACTATGCCTGTATCGGATGTTAGAACCAACAGCAACGAGAAGACTTTTTTTGTAATTCCGCCGGCTAGGTACGTCTTGGTCCACATAAAAGCGACACATCTCAGCTGAAAAGATAACCTTTACAAGTATTGTACAGTACTTGCCCCACTGTTCTTCATCAAAGCTACTCTTCGGAACTGGAACATTAAATAAAGTCAGATAGTTTTGTTAGATGTCCTGGTTTCTTATTTTTAGCGTTCGTGGAGATATTCTTTTGGAATTTCCTTTCCTATGGCTCACTCTCTGCTCCTTGATGTTAAGACATGCCTAGGAAAAGCAACTGTCAGTAGCTTTTTTGATGTATAAGCGCGCATCGTGGCTCCTATCGTCGAGTGTTTGACTGAGCGTGTGTTGGACGAATGTAATATATTCATGGGAATGTTTTCGGTCATTTTTACCGGGCCTTATGATTCTCTATTAGTTTAGTTAGTGTATTTTTTCCACACTGTGGGCAAATGTACCATAACCAGGAACGAGGGTGAATTAACATAACCTCGTGATACTGATTAGGTACTGAATAATCACGTCAACAGTGAACCTAGCCACCACCGAGATTACACCCAAATACCGAGTCACTGGTTTTACCGAGGGACGAGCATGCGATACAATTGTCATTTTTGTGCTGCTCCTCCTCAGTAGCAGTCTGCAACACAAGGAGTTAGGGAGCCTACTTCGTTTTTATTCACTCGTTTTCCTTGAATAAGGGCATGGATAGGAGTGCGATCCTGATTATTTATCAGGACATTCAGTTTCGGTGTCTAAGTTAGGTAGTCCACACTGAACACATTGCTCTGAGACTAGTTAACCGTTGTCATCCTGAGCGATCCTATAATCTTGTTGCTAGAAATGGGGATTTTCGACTTATTAAGATCTACACCTCTGCTAGTGGTCCTAGTAGACTTGTAATAGCTCAGGTTGATTGGTTAACAATTGACTCCGAACAACTAAGTCTATGTTAGTACAGTATAGTTAAAGTATTCATTAACTTCCTTATTTTGTATAGGCTTTATATTTCATATTATCTCATGTTGAATGTTGAGAGGCCTTGTTATCTGAACAGATAATCCCACTCTCCACTATGACTGCACGAAGATCTAAATATGCTACATACTAGGAGAACATGATGAAAACTTGAAATCGCTAAGTAACTTTTGACCGTCCTAGAAAGCAATTTCACGGGAATACAGCAACTAGTCAAAATTCCTGTATTTACGAGAAAATGGATGTGTAAAAGTTTCAGCTGAAGCGACTTGGAAGAGAACAGTTGAGTGTGACAGCTAGACCTACTTCAAAGTAGATTAACCTTATTGTGATTACGGTAGTTAGATTTGTTATTGCACCTGTCCACCAGCGAGGTGAAGGCGAAGCCTATATCAATCGATGTGTTTGAGTATCACAGAATGGAAGTCAACTAGTGGATACTTCCTGCTATTGGTGAAAGATTTGCGAAATCAAATCAGGCTAGATGAGTGCTCGCACAAAGACATGAGACAAACCAGCCTGTTGACGAAGATCTGATAAATATTGGGTCGAGCTTATTGATAAGATATGTTTGATCGGCTCTGTCAAGTGCTCTTAAGAAGTCGAGGTGAATTATGTCGACCTTCTCTTTGCTGACGAGGGTGATAGTCCATCTGTCCACTGCACTGAGTAGGTCGGTGATGCAGAAACAATACGTCCTGGAAGCGTAATGTTGGAGACGAAAAGAACTATATAGATAGCAAGTAGTCTTATGGGCCATCGCACACCAGGAAGTCCACAACCTTTGAGGGTATTAAACGAAGTGCAACCGTTCTGCACTTCGAAAGCCCATTGGGTTGTGAACCTTTAAAAGTTGTTGTGGATCATGTCCAAATCAGGTGATGTATTCACGTTTGGGCGCTGAGGACTGGTACACCAGTCATGCGCTCAGATTCACTTCCAAGACTCCTGTTGAGTCTCAGGTAGGGCTCTCGTCAGTGTAGGTCGCATGAGACGACTAAAATGTCTGTGAGCACTGTTCTATCAATAGCTGAGGAGTAGCACCAACGTTGTTGCTTTGGAAACTCCAGCTCTGGCTAGTCAAAGAGAGGCTGAATGACGGAATAAGTTATACAGACTGGAGGTAAGTTCTTCGATTAGATTAATCTGATACGACAGCCTCGCTTTACGAGAACAGGTACGGTTACTCAGTCATTTTGTGTTTCCCGAAGAACCATAGAAATTGTAAGACACCAACGAGTGATAAGCAAAGGTGTAATTCTAACACCCCCCTCGTAGAAGAATCAGTGTTTAAGTATCCATTTCTGATGTCTTTAAGAAAAGTGAATACTCTAGAGTCCATTGTCTCAGATAATGCTTTGAATCTGTAATCTCTATGAGAAGTAAAAGCTCTAAAGATTGAGAAAAATTGTCCAACTGTGTTCTGTTCTCAAGGTCAATGACCTGAGACGATAGTCTCTGTTGAGTTAGATGTTTTGCGTAAGGTCAAAGCGCGTATGTTGATGTTCGCGTTATGTTTCCAATACTTGTAACATGACGACAATCGAGTCCAGTGAGTTTTACGGTTTCGATCTTATTTTCAGTCAACAAAGTATCTTCCGTATACTTCGGATCGCAATAGATGACTTCAAATGGTTGATTTACAGCTTTTTACTAGATTTCGGAAAACTTGTCATATCTTCCTTATAATGTAGTTTTGTCCATTCTACTCTCACTTTTTTATGGTTCTCTTCGTCCGTTTTGTTAATGAACCATTTAAAAAGTGCACCAGATCTCAAAGGACGTTCTTAGTTTTTTTGGGGCGATTTTTTATTGTAATAATAATCATTTATTTTGCATTTGTAAACATCAAAAGAGGTTTATAAGAGTCTTTAATTGATAACGGTTTCGCCGCCACGTCAGTCGTAAACCTGTTTACGGCTCCGAAAAATCTTGTCCTTCAAATCGTTCTCAGGAAGAAGCTATTGCAAGTTGACTCATCGTTTTCTGTGTATTGTCAACTCATAAAATCTGTGTAAATATCTCTGCACCCAAATTCAATAATAATCCTCCAATGTACCAGATAACTTAAATCGTTGAGTACACTTCAAACATTCCTACTTAGTTACTGAAACTTACTACCTCTCTTGGGGTATAGTATGCTAACCAGAGAGCTTCAAGTATCTCTGTTTTGTGCTCCTTCTCAGTTGTTGCCAAGTTGTCCCCATATTCTCGATGCCTGCCTCCGATTCTTGGATCCATGTGTTCTTTGATATGCCTCTTCCTTTAGCATAGGGAATTTCAATTCAAGACTTGCCTTTTGATCGAGCTTAGTGACTTCCTCAGCATATCCTATTCACCTCCACTATCTTTTCCCGATTTCTTCCTCAACTGGTAGCTGGCTTGTTCTCTGGCAGAGTATGTTATTGTTGGTGGTCTCTGGTCAGTGGATCTGGAGTATCTTGGGTAGAGAGATGTTTATAATTACTGGTAGTAGTAGTAGTAGCAGTTATCCAAGTTTCAGCTCCTTATGACAGGATTATTTTGACATAAGTGTTGAAAATTCCGATTTTATTCCTGAATGACAGTTGCTTTGAGTTCCGAATATGTTTCTTTTGTAGGATCGCTATTCTGGTCTGATGCATCTTAGCTCTGTACTCTGCCAATCACACATAAGGTTCAAACCAGACCCTTAAGTTTTCTCGTGATACACAATATTATTAGGTCACTAAGTCAAAATCTGACGGTACACGTTATCTATTTCAGTCATTTCGCTTTAATCCTCTATTCTCATTCGATTCTCAGTTTTATTTGATTTTTCACGCCTCACCTTACCAAATCTCCTGGTCTCGGCTTTTCATGACATTTCGAGAAATCGCTTCTGGAAAATAATCTTTTGTGGTTGTCTTATGTTTATTCTGTATGAATATTGTATTGATTTTGAGAAAATTTCGGCCTATCGAAATCTTCTGTAGAACCATCATAAATCAGAAAACATTGTTTGAATGTTTTTAATGTAAGTCATAATATTCGGTTAAAGGTTAACCATGTTGTGTTCTGTACATCATTTTATTTGTTTATCTTAATTATATTCCCTTCGAATCGTAAATGTGTCTTCATTGGTGTTTTTCTGCTTAATTTTTGTATCTTAAACTGCTCTTTTGCAGTGTTCAGTCGTTATCTGAAGTATAAATATTATCTGAATTCAGTTCCATTGATAAAATAGGGTTTTCTTAATATTGCTTATGTGGAATTTGTTGTTGGTATAGTTGTTATGGGTAGAGAAGATGAAGTAAAACAATGATGTTCTAGTTGATATTTTGATTTGAATCTTCGAATTGACATGTGTATGCATTTCTGAACCTGAAATGAAGATAAACATTTTTCCAGTAAAATTGTTCATAATTTTCTGTAAGTTATATTAGCTCTTATGAATTATATTAACGTATTCTTCAGGTGCTTGGATGTAAGGCACATTCTGTTTGAAGTTTACTGATGCTATCCAATTGCTCAAAGCAAAGGCCGAGAGGGTGTTGAACTCAGAACTTAGTGCCTAAAAACCCTAATCATCAAACCATCTCTCCACTAGCAGCTTCGTTTAGTAAATGAATATAGAGATTTGTCAGAGCTGATGGAAACCACTTACTTTCAACCTATGGCTTTCGGATATCATCAGTAAGTCATACACATCATATTCAGAGAATTGGTGCTGCATCTGAGATTCGAAAATTTCAGTGAGATATTACCATTGAGGAAATAACAATGTAATTTCAAATGTTCCATCGAAATGTGTTTTTACCAATAATACAGAAACTTTTAGGCCAAGTGTCTGTATAAACGTCTGTATAAATGCGCTGAACTCCGATAATAATTCTCTAATTTACCAGATAACTTAAATCGTTGAGTACACTTCAAACATTCCTACTTAGTTACTGAAACTTACTACCTCTCTTGGGGTATAGTATGCTAACCAGAGAGCTTCAAGTATCTCTGTTTTGTGCTCCTTCTCAGTTGTTGCCAAGTTGTCCCCATATTCTCGATGTCTGCCTCCGATTCTTGGATCCATGTGTTCTTTGATATGCCTCTTCCTTTAGCATAGGGAATTTCAATTCAAGACTTGCCTTTTGATCGAGCTTAGTGACTTCCTCAGCATATCCTATTCACCTCCACTATCTTTTCCCGATTTCTTCCTCAACTGGTAGCTGGCTTGTTCTCTGGCAGAGTATGTTATTGTTGGTGGTCTCTGGTCAGTGGATCTGGAGTATCTTGGGTAGAGAGATGTTTATAATTACTGGTAGTAGTAGTAGCAGTTATCCAAGTTTCAGCTCCTTATGACAGGATTATTTTGACATAAGTGTTGAAAATTCCGATTTTATTCCTGAATGACAGTTGCTTTGAGTTTCAAATATGTTTTTATTTTAGGGATCTTGTCCTCGGTTTTTCCAGCTGATACCTTACTATTTGCACTAAACCTCCTTTTCCTATCGATCACGCTGTATTTGTTGGTTAAGAGCTCTATATCTTACTGAGCTTGGCCATCAAGTGTGATTTGTTTGGTGTTGGCTGTGCCGTAGTTTGCTGCCTTGCTATTTTGTTTGTGAATTCTGAGGCCTACTGTTACGGTAGCCGTTGTTACACTGTCTGTCTCTATTTACATTTGTTTTCGTATGTGTAATAGTAGATCTTACTGATCTGCTAAGTTTATTTCACCCAACTTCCACTATGTTGTTCACTGTGGTCAGCTTTTTTCCCAAGGTGTGGAGGTCTTGAAAATCTAGTCGACCACCAAAAGCAAAAGAAAAGTCGAGGGTAAGCAACTTTGTCATGAACTGGTATTCGCTTGGAATTCATCTATGAGTTACTCTCTATGCATGACAATGGAATCCCGTTCGTTTTAGAAGTCCTGTATTATAATGATTGCCCTCTCAGGTACTAGATAGGAACGATAAAGACTCCACTAGGTCTTCCTATCCTCATTTCTGAAACCTTTTACACAAACAAGGAAGTTGATTCTTTAACTATGAGTTCCATTCAATTATTTGTTTACCAATAATCCTCAGTGTCGCGATTTGGTCGTGTTCAGTTCTTATAAAATTCAGCTTTCTGATCTCAAATTTGAACGGCTTCTTAAGCTCTTGTTCGGTTCATCAAGATTTTGAAAACAACTTGGTGCTGAAAGTAGTTTGATGTCACCGTGGTCCTCATATTCACCAAAATCTCTCTTTAACATGTTTATAAGATATCTCTCTCCAGTCGGTTAGTTTTTATTCTTCGTTATAAACCTTTCTAATGATCACAAAGAAATTCTTTACAGTTACTTCTATGTCTGGCTTTAGTACTTCAGTTGGTATTTTACCTTGTCCTGCTTCTTTGAAATTCCTGATGACCTTGCTAATTTCTTCTATTATTTGTGAGGTAACATCTGTGAAAAGGTCTATGTGTGCTGCTTCGATGAACGGTGGGTTCAATGGGACTTGTCTATCGAAATGCTCTTCAAAATGCACCATCTACTTGTTTCACTATTCTCAAACCTCAATGTATGTTTCTCCTCTGAGATGGTGGAGAAAATTTGTAGCTCAGGTGGATGATTTTGATGGAGTTTTGTTCTCTGAGCTGGATGGTTTGTGCTGATGATGTCGTTCAGAAGAACGATGAAAGCTCCACGAACAAACCATCCAGCTCAGAGAACGAAACTCCCTCAAAATGGTTCTCCTCTATTCCAGGTCTACCCAATTTTCTACTAGCTCCTTGGTTGTATCATTTAGTCTTTTCATATTTCTCTCACTTACTCTATTTAAATATACTGAATAAATCCTGAAATAATTTCTTCAGTGAAGGAATTGTTTCCGACGTGTTCGTTTTCAAAGTTGTACAACCGTATATATTTGTGGCATATATGGATCAACGAATAATTTAATGTCTGTCCGAATTTAATTATTTGTCATGTGAATTTCCGTCCTATCATTTATATTGCACAAGCTTTATCTATTCACAGCCATCAATTGGGATATCTTAATTAAGTTGATTTTGTATTGTAACAGGATTCGTCACTATATTCGTAGCATTATAAATGGTTTTAAAATCAGTAAATATTAAAACAAAAAATATTCCATTCTCATTTGCGAGAATAAATTTATATTTCCAAATAAAGTTCAGCATATTTATCTCATGAATCTACATAATAAGTATAATAATTCGGAAATCTGAACAACCAGATTTGCAATTAAACGTTGATATACAATACGAATACATGTAAGTGGAGTATCAGCTTTTTTATTACTAGTATATTTGTGTCGATTCATTGTCTTATCAAATATCTGAATGTAACATTCTATGCATTAAATTTAATGTCGTGGGCTTAGTTCATAATTTCACCACTCATTTATTTATTTGAACACATAAATATTTGTACAAAGGGGCACCGCATACATATGCTCCACACAAGTCACTTGATCTGTGTGTGGGCTGTGATACTACACGGAGCCTTCAACTCAATGGTCTGATCCACAAGGCAGTGGAGCAATGTCAGGAGATGCAGTCCGATGGTAGCCGGTGACCAACGATTGGTTGATACGCCATTGGTTCCTTCAGGATCCTGGAACCCATGTGCATAACTAGTTTAGAATCAGGGTTTTCCAACTCCCCTAAGTGGATCCTCCATATCCACTAACCCAGAAAAATCGCCAGACCTTCGTTTTTCGTCCTCTCAATTTCGTAAACAACACCCCTGCCACGAGAAGGCAATGAGCAAGACTTCTCTGTCAATGGCTGTATACGCGTGGCCATGTGAGAGCATTTCGAGAGGATGAGCGGACTCCCCACCCTCGGTCGTACCATGGCATTTGTGGGGCTATTTCAAGACAATAACCTATTACTTTAATCTTCAATTATGTTTAAAAATAAATTATAATAATCTGTTAGTGGTTTCATTTTTAAGTTATTAATTAATGGAGAATTTGTCAAATTATTTCCAGAAATGTTTATGAACATTGTTATTGATGAGGTGATTAAGGTTAATCACTACATAATTGCATTTTTTATAATTATTGACGGCAGATAAGTAAATATCACGTGATCATTAATCGTTATACACTGATAATTTTGAAGGTTAACTACCAGTGTTTAATTATATTTAAATTAAAAGGAATTTGTAACTTAAAGTGCATTCATTTAACACAATTTACATAGTTGTAAACAACTAATATGTAATTTAAATTTTATTTTAATACTTGAATAAAAGTTTCCATATTTTATTTATCGTCATACTAATGTTTTCTTACATGAAAGACAATTTATAGGTTTTCTTTAGAAAACAGAAATAAGCTATATGTTATACATAATTATATAATTCATTAGTTCTTAATCGTATGGTAATATAGTCCTCTGTAATTTAGTTTCGTCATTATAATATTATAATTCAAAAGCTTTGTAATTAAGTCGAATTTGTTTTAACAATAACTGTTTCTGAATGAAAAAATGTTTACGTTTTCTCACATTTGACTTTAATATAGTTTATACATAAAAGTTAACTTTGGGTAGTGAAAAATACTGTTTCTGAGTAAACGTTTGTTATTACAGGAGTATAAAATAAAATAAATTCTAAACTGTTCTTCAATGTCATCTTTAATATTTTGTCCCTTACATGAGGTCCTGATCAAATTTTCAAGTTGATTGACTTCTTATTATTTCAGTTATGCACTTAAAAATGAAATTTTAAATTGTTGTAAATAAAGTTTTCTACACTTTCTAACTGTAGAACTTGATCAGATTTCTAAACTTACGAATCTGTGACAAAAAAGTTCACTAAACATCAAAATATATTGAAATATTATATCAAGAGTTTTGGTGTTTTCTTAAGACATACAAGTCATTTCTTCAATGTTCTGGATTGGATATTTTATGGAAATTCCTATTATGAAATTGTATTAAATAAGGATTGAATTCTCAACAACAACCGTTAATGAATTATAGAATTAATATCAGAAGGGTTCGAATCTCGCAAGGTGGGATCGTGGATGCACGCTGCTGAGGGGTCTTACAATAGGACGAAACGGCCGTACAGTGCTTTCAGGTTTTTCATGGTGGTCTAGCTTCAATTGACTCATAATCTCAACTATTGGAATTATGGAATTATTTGGACAATATTTCACTTAAACTGGCACCAGCTTATTTAAAAAGTGCGATCACACGAAAATTCATTCTGAGGCCATTGGTACTTCAAAGTAATGACTGTTGTGTCTAACTTCTAAGCGGTCTACACCATGAATATTAGTTGCCAAGTCATTCTCAAAGAATTTACATTGGGTTTGTCATCATGATAAAAAATGAGATTCAAGTTAGTCGATGACTTAAACAGTACAAAACTTACATCTTTGTTCATAAAATAATATATCATAGATATAATAAATCCTTGCCATGTTGGCAGCACTCGGCGTATTCCAGAAACAATAAAAAATCCCAAAGGATGTTTTGGTTCTGGTAAAAGTACAATAAAATTAGTAATTCCTAATAATGGCATTAAAAGGATAGCAGCTTTTACAGCTTTTCTAAAAGAAAAAAAAAAACAAATATTAGTAAATCTATTGAAATAGAACTATTTCTGAATTCAAAAATTGTCTATTAACCAAATGTCTACATTTTGATTTTCTAAGAAATCTTTTAGTGATCTTATTGTGATGCATAAACGTAAAGTCGATTGATGTTTCACCCTGATCTCCTTGAATAGATTTGGATGAAAGCATATATTGTATAAAATCAACAATTTTCCCGTGTCATTTTTCTACTTCAATTTGTCTTTGTATCAATAAAGTCTTGTCAATTTACACGATGTTCTTAATTACCTACTGGGTTAAATGTAGGACCTAAGACTGCGATCAACTTTTAATTTCTGACAATTTCAAGCAAAGTATTTGCTCGTCTTTTTTCATTATTCTAGATAGTGTTGATAACTGTGACTTCGTTAATTTATATAAGTTTTGATAAGGATTTGGATATTATTGGATTACTAGTTTTCATACTGACTTCCACTTTGTATCCTAATAAGTCAAACAAATATTATAATGTATGTTAGCTACGCTGAGTAAAGGCTAGAGTCAAATGAACGAAAATCAAATTAAAAGAGTGCATTATCTACACTTGATTTCTTTCTAACAAATTGTATTTAAAAATTCGATATTCTAATACTACGAAGCGATGTAGCACCTTTGTTTGATAATATCGCTAAGATGGTGATACTTTTGGTTTTTTTACATATTGACGAAATTGAGCGACACATATTCTCCAGACTTTGTAGAAATCACGTTTCTCTCCAGTCTACAGATTGTAACTGCATCATTCACACAAATTAAGATACTTCTTTGTTATCATTTGATTATAGAGCTTATCTGGTTCTTGTGCTGTAAACATAGCTGATCAAACTTTTCTACATACGGTGATAAGGGCCATATCTACTGAATGAAGATTGTTAAGCCAGTCTAAACGTAGAAAGCTTAGATCCGAAACAGCGACACGGGCTGTTTCTGTGAAAGTAATGTCTTCAAATGATACTGAATTGAAATCATTCTGTTAATAGTAGATTACCTCTGAAAGAAGTTGTTTTTTCCTGCTAAGTTGGTTAAATTATGTGTTCTTATGATTTCCATATTTTATATGGTTTGATGGTGATATCAGAAGCGGCATCTGTCCGTAATCGTATAGTTTGGTTATTGATCTGTAATTGACAAACTTAGGGATTGAAATGGTGTGCTAGCTCAAGTCTCCGACAGTAATAAGCATGCCTTTCCAGTACCTTTACTGCAGTGCTCTCATATTGCTATTCGTACTTAGCAGTAATTTCTACATGAGTGGATAAGGGTTTTTATTTTACGGGCTTTTAGCTTTGTGAAAATCGTCAGCTTACTTATTGATCACGTTGATTAACTATTTGAATCAATAAAAAATGGGATTACTTTAAATGGGTCTCATTACTGAGGATGATCTTACTCATTGTCAGCAATTTTACAAATAGGTTTATTCAGCAGCTGCTACTAATATGATCCTGCACACTGTTTATATGATAAAGAAACCTGTAGTTTTAAAAACATGGATTCTTCTGTGACACAAATCGTACAAACCTGAGTGTGATATAATAAACAGACATGAAGTAATCTCTGTGAAAACTTAAGTATTCCCTTTAAACAGAATATCACTATTTTACTCAGGGTATTTTATTGATATTCACTTTTGTAAACAAAACATTTGTCGTAATTAAATAGCTAATTGAAAGTAAAAACATACTTTAATTTCAAAATTTCCGGTGCATAATTTGTCGGAAGCCTTCGAACAAGAACTCGGATTACATTGATAAGGAAAGCCATATTCGTCTAGTAAATTTTTGTCAAATAAGGAAAAATCTCATATACATAAGGACATAAATAAATAACTTGAACAGATAAATGAATTGTACGTCACAAATATTAGAAGGAATATGCCCGGTTATTTATGCTTTAATGCATCAAAAGTTTATCTGCGTCATTCAAAAACAATACAGTTTAAAAGAAAAAAATTCTAAAAACATTATGTTGTTCTTCTTTTGGATATTATAGTCAGTTGAGTTTCAAAAGAGATTTGTAGTGTAACTAGGTAATTAAATTTTCGAAACGAAGCACCTTGAACTCATTTACTAATGCGTGTCAATCCATTGTTTCTAATATGATTCTTTGTACGTTTGGGTTGCTTGTAAACGAACCGAGTCCTTAAAATGAAATCAATTGATCCCATTCTTTTGTTTAAACCCATCTGACTGTTGGTTGTTTAGTTATACTAATGATTATTGCTTATTATAAAGGGTTTCTTTTCAAATGAAAGTAATGTAATATTTTGATCGACTGCGTGGTTCTTGGCATAGCTTTTGATTTATTTCAGTCTATACATCAAAAGCATAATAAATTATAAAGTAGGTATGTTATATCTGACTAATTACTATCAAAACAATTCGGTATCTTAATCAAGGGTGAATATGAAAAATAGCTTACCGATAGTAAAATTAATCTGAAACTATCCAAAATCCAGTAAGTTGAATGAAATGTATAAAATGACCAACTTCTTGATAAGCGAAATAAATATGAATAAAACGGCAGTACAGTTTGTTTATTATATTTTAATAAATGAAAATGCGAATAGAAGCTTAAATAAAAATTTTCTTCAAAATAGTAATTTGAGTATGTCAAATAAAGGAAATGTTCAATTTGTATGATCGGAAATTTTATGCACTGCATTTTACTGTAACTATTTTAGGCAAATTAGCTAATCAGTATTTGGAAGCATTAGCTTAGTTCTCGATGAAAGCAATAATTAGTACAACTCTAGAATTTCAATTTATTGCGTATAATTGTGACTTGTAACACTATTCTCTTTTATATATGTGGTCGGATACATGGTCAAATTTGTAGTTTAGTTAAATTTTTGAATCCATCCAATAAAAAGCAGGTTTTCTTTGTATTCATCGAATCAATACTGAAGTATCGAATTGTCAACATCGACAAATTCCAGTTTTTCGTTTGTATACAAGAAATTGAGGGTGAAGCTATCAATTTAAAGCTTTCGATTTAATATTTACTCCTACTTTGTTACTAACGTTTGAACATCCGTCTCAGATTGCATATGATGTAAAGAATATTTATTCCCAGATTTAATTCAGTACATTATCTGATTATATGAAACAATGCCATAATGTACATAATTAATAATTTTCTATTTTGTTTATTAATTGGGGTGTCAAAATTAAAATTCTCATGTTTGAGGAATTAATTGATATTCCATGGGTAAAAAATATACACAGTGAGTAAATTTAATTAATACAGGGCTTTACGTATGCCAAAATACATTTGTCTTAATACTAAGATACGTTCAATCATTTGTGAGAAAACATATTAAATATATGGGACTGATTTTCCGCTAACACATTTCTAACTAGAAAAGGATATATTTGTATCAGGGATGTGCTTCATTCAGAATTATCAAAATGTTTTAGAATGGTACATATGAAGTGACTTAAACTAATAGTATGGACCATTGAATTTCAACTAAGTCAGTGCATGTTATGTCTCTTATTGCTATACATGAGAGTCCAGTAAAATATTATTTGTGGTTTCTTAAATCAGTTCTGTTGAGCATCCTTAAAATGCGACGACATTTTGATCAACTGCTTTCCGCTTTTTTAGTGGTGCTTCATGTTGTTTCAGGTCGCGACGAAAACTAGCTTTAAATAATACAGGATTTCCATAACACCACTGTAGCATAACATATTTATCTATCACTGAAATGAAGGAGATATAAAAAAAACTTCATAGTATGGTGAACATCAAAGAATTAGATAACCAACCACATGGACTTTCGTATATCATGTTCATAATATGGATCAGTGATAAATTAACCAATGGATAGATAGTGATATATTTGTTATTGTCAAGACTTATTTAAATAAAATCAACTACACTTGTTTAGTCATTCTTAAGCTTGTTCCAAAAATACATTAAAATCAAGAGAAGCTTAGAATTTACTACTTATTTAAGTAATAGTGAACTTACACGTTTATTTTATTTGTATGTAACCATGCACTTAGCCACAGTCCTGTTGTGAAAATCGGTACAACTGTAAGAATGAACAGAAAATTAATTAAATGTCTAGAAACCAATCGTTACGAGTATTTACAAAAGAATTTATTAAAGTCATCTCTAAGGTGACTGATATATAAAAATACTATTTAAGTTTTCAGTCACAAAGTTTGTAATATTTTCATCTGCCAGAAAGTATCAATATAAATGTTTGTGTTTCCTTCAAGCACTTTAAACAATATATTTTGAACAATAGTCACAGAATAAATCCCATCAGCTTTTTGTTCCACTCTTATATCGTCAGTTGTATGTAATTCCAATAATCCGAACAGAAATTAACGTCTTAATTTCAGTAACTAAACTATATCAAGCTTTTGTTATTATTCTTGGTGGCTTTGAAATGCTTGGAGTTGATGAGAGTCATCTAGATAAAATTTAACTATTTTATTATGTGAATATTTTCGTGTTCTGTTTCGTTCAGATTTATCAATAGGATTAGATGTGTGGAATTAAACAAAATGATTTTTCATTTATTCAAATGAAAAATGAGCAAACCAGGGAATAGAATGACAACTGCGTGGAAGCATTCATTTTAATATTCAGTTTCTCATTTCTTAAAAAGCAAAATTAAGAAATTCTAAATGTGCAAAATCCTGTCTGATTTTAATCAATCAGTTGTAACGTACACGCTTCATCTGTTCATACATATGCTGTTGTCATAAAATACATCGTATAATGAAGTATATCTGTGATACTGGTACGAATAAACTACTGAATAACTCATTGTCTACTAATGTAAAAAAGTGTTTTCAGAGTACCAGTGATCAACTAAATAGCAGAAATCGTACTTTTCTTACAATATATTTAGTGATACTTCAATATGTATTATAATAAATTACAGGTATTTAGACTAGAAGGTTATAGAGATACAAATTCGTTGTTGTAAACTTCAATATGTAAACAAAAGAGTAATTATATTCTGTGTTACATAACATCAAAAATGTCAATCTTTTTTATTGTTCACACTGAGACAAACCGTGAATGCCTACAAGTTATCATGTGCTTTATTCAGAGGAAAACTCATTGCAAAACATCCAAATTTTTCTGCAGATAAGTGTCCTATAAGAAATGGAAACGTGATTTTTCGATCCTATTCGTGTTCTTATAAAAAGACAATCGATACCTTTTTTCGGACATGTAAGGGATGTTTTGATTTATTCAACATATAATAATCTTACCAAGTGTTTTGTGTATTACTAAAGAAATTAATTACATTACTTACCCCATGCTGCAATCATCAAAGGATACATATTCACTGACGGTTGAAATACTGAAACGACAATTAATTCGTGTATATGAACACCTTCGATAAATGTCCATGTGAAAACACAAGTTTGACTTAATTCCCAGATAATTATCATAGTATTCTGTATAATTATATATGTCTACAACAAATATAACAAGTACTCGTCAATAGTTGTTTTATGTGAATCTATAAATAACAGAAAGTTAGTTGAATCACATAGTGATAGAATTAATTTCAGCGTATGTGGTACATACAATTTATCTTGAATCAACTATAGTAAATTGAATACAGAAAGTGTATATCTTACATATTCTTAGTTTTTTCAATAAAATATTACAAAACACAATGAGTTTATAATATTTTAAGTCATTCATTGTTTATTTATTCTTTGAAGATTCTTTCCAAATTCCTGTTAGATGGAATATGTTTCTATTACGTAAATATTACTTACTATAGAATTGAATCTATAACTTTTTCAAAGAAATAATGAAAAGTTGAATTATAGAATATTATACAGTGAATGATTCGAAGAATCACCCTTTTAAATATTATAATTATGAAAAATATACATTAAGGAATGATTATCATAAAACCAAAGTAAATCTGGATAAAACTGTTAGAAACGTAAAGAATATATTTCATATAATTAAAGCATGTTAGTTTAAAAAATAAGGCAGAATTACTATAAAGTTTATAATTAGTCAGTTTTTAATTTGAATTGAAGAAATATTAGACATCAATAAGTAAGTAATCTTAGTTTATGTCTGTTATAACTTGTGACCTGTGTGCCCTGTTAATGGATAAGTAATGACACCGTCAATTAAGGAGCAGTGACTTATCAACCGAATCAATGACGCGTAAAACCCGTACAAGCAGCCTAGAGTCCTGATTGGTCCTGATTTCGCCTAGCTCAGCCCGTTAAGTCCAGAACACCAGTCTCAGCCTCTGTAATATGAATCATGTATTTCAAACATACTCGGTTCATATCCTAATCAAACAAACCACAACGTACCATAAAATAGAAAATAACATTTGTACAAAATTTGGCCAAATATGGTTGTGAATGTGGGAGGCAGTGACTAATAGACAGGGCATAAATCAAGAATGGTAAAATGTATAATAATGGTTCATAGGTCAAAATAAAGCTTATAATAAGAGGAATATGAATATAGATAGTTTAGTTATTTAACAATTATACGATAAAAATATACGTGTAGTATTGGTCCACAAATGGATCCCAAAGTTACCATTCATTATGCTTATCGGGACCTAACAATGTCATAGACTTGAATGATATTTTTGATGGAATGTAGTTGAAAGTGATCAACTGACGAGTGCTACAACAAACATTTCTTACTGGTTGTTACTTTCAACTAACAAATATCGGATAAAATCATTGAATTTAGTAACTGCATTACAGTGTGATAAACTCAAACAGCTACACAATATGGTATTTATTTTTATGGGTAGGTAGTATTTAAACGTAGATGAATGTGTTTCTATAGATTTCTGCATACATCTATACCTATTAGTGAGTAAATTATGTAAAATCATGTTTATTTATTTTTTATATTAATTTGTGTTTAATTAATATTACTGTATAATTTATTTTAGCATGAATATTTATCGGATTATATGATGATAATCCGATAGAGTAATAAGAAATTTCAGATTGAAGATAAATCACATTGTGAATAAACAAGAGATATTTTTTCACTTGGTGTGTTACAATACTTGATTTGTTCTAGTTGACAACATAGTTTCTTAATATGAATAATTTAAGTCATTTGAAATGTGTACAGTTCAAAGTATATAAATTCAGTTTAGTAAACTATACTCTTAAAAATCATTAGAAATAGTTGTAATTTCTATATGAGTTTTTTCTGAGATAAAACCATGGAGTTTTGACAGTAATACAAAGTATATCTGGAAATAAACTACAAGATTATGTAAATTACCTGAAAGTTATTTATCGTTATTATACTAACTATATTTTTCTAAGGCTCTCAATTTTAACGATTTAAAGGTATTGTAATCACTGTATAGATCAAAGATTGTCAAGTTTGAATGCATATGAATAACTATCAGTTTGGTCAATTAGAGTGGGATGAACTAGAGTGACTTAACAGTTTAGTTATTACTTGTTGTTTTTAATTGTTTCAGTTTGTCTCAGTACGTGTTGAAAAAAAACTATTATTCATTTTCAGAAAAATAAACTTAAGCATCACTTAGCTTTGTGATATAACTGAACACCCTTATTTGATACACACTTTGATTTAAATTACAAAGATTTGAATCTTTTTAACAAATAATGGTGGTTATTTATGATCATCAAACTGGAGAACATTAGATTCAAGTACGCACATTAAAGATAGGCAAAGATAATGTTCAAGTTTTAATTATTACTGTCATAAATAATTATTATTAGTTAAAGTTTGATGTCTTTTAAAGAGATCAGGACCATTTTCATGTGTTTTCCTAATCTGACTTTCGTTAACAGAAATAATAATAGTAGTAACAATCGTAATTATAATAATTGTTTTAAATACAAGTAATAATTAATCAATTCATATATCAAGACTTTCATTTAGCCTTTATTTGTTAAAAAAAGGCAGAAAAGTCAGTACAAACAAAGAGTATCAGTGTAGAAATTTGTGAAGATTGTTGAGTTTTATCAATATCACAAACCAAGTTAGACATCTATTGAAAACTGTAAAGTACTGGACAGCTGTTTTGCCATAGAATGTGGCTCGTTCGACGTGTTCACCCACAATCCATCCAAAGAGAAGTGAGCTCACGACCCTTTATAGGATGGTTAGGCAATGTCATGAATTGATTGAGATTAGACATACGCATCACTGGATTTCAGCTTCGTGGTCTGCGGCGTAGGCGCTCACACTCAAGATCGAAGGTTCTGAGTTCGGTTCACCATAGAACTATTGCGAGTGTTTGCCTCTGAGGAGCCCTATAGGGTGAAACAGCTATCCAATATTTTCTTATTTTCCATGAATGTGTAATGTAGGTTGATAGGGTTAGCAAAGCTATCTTATTAGGATACCTAAAGAAACAGGAATTTTCTTTTTTAGCTTAAAAAGATGTTGAGGATGTAAGTTGTTCTAAGAAATAGGATTTAAGCATGTACTCAAACTAAACTTATTTACACAAACAGCTTTTATATCAGATAGTTACACCCATTTATTCACATTAAGTATTAGTTGCCGTATTAGCCTTATCCCTATGAAAAGAACTATTTCATTTGGATTGAATTCAAAACATTTTGGTTCTACATTAGTATTGATGTCTAAAATTGAAAAAGATAATCTTAGATTGTGTAAATTACTCTTCTTCATTGAATAATATGTTTGAGAAAGTTATAGTTATACAAATCCCTTTTGAATGCAAGATTTAATCTCATAAGTTATACATTAATGTTCAGTAATGATAAATAGCTAGTTAGAAAGTTTCACTGTTCCTCTAAATTGATTTCGTTTATAAGCTAAGTTTTTACTTGAAACAAAGTATGAAAAACTCTACACAGACTAGATATTAGTCCAAACTCAAATAGTATTTGTTTAAAGACCAGGAGTTAAAGTTATTGCAGGTTGTAAAAATGAATAACCTATGGATTGCATTTTTTAAGCTAATTTGATTGTGAGATGACAAGGAAGACTTATTGCTTAAAAGAATAAGTTTGAAGTTATCGCGTGATCTATACTGAATGAACAATCGTTAAAGATTTGAATGTGTTTTCTTTTTGACAACATAATAAATTCAAACTACATTGATGAGTAAAACTATGAGAATATCCCTTATTGACTATTTCTACTGATAAATGGTCGCTATCATAATTTTATCTACGTGATCTACTTGACAATTGCTTATCATTTGCTTTATTAGCTGATATAATCTACTACAATATGTTTACTTAGTTCTGTTCTTTTTTCTAGATGTATAACAAATCGTTTTATAGGAAGAATTCTCTTCTCAGTGGACTCATCTTCAAAGTTGTACAGTCGGAAAGACATACTCTTTGTGTCCTTATTTACTTTTTTCTGTTATCATTATTAGCAAACCTGTTATTATTATTATTATTATTAACAGACATGTTATTGATTATTATTTTGGAAAATACGTATATCGTTTAAATATCCCAGTCATATTAAAAGACTAGTATTTGAACGAAGAATATTCTTTTCGATAAATTCTCTTCAGGTTCTACAATTATATATCCAAATTAATAATCCGAAAAATGGCCAGTTTAAGGGTAAAGTACATAGTTTAAAGCATGTGAATTTAGGATTGTGGTAAATAAAATACAATAAAATTGTGCATGTTGTTATGACTCATAAAGAATGTTAACTTGAATCTGAGTTTATGTTCAGTGAGATTTTAAGATCTATGATCAGAATAAATATGGGTCAAGTAGGGTGAGAAAAATAATAGTGCAATTGCCATTCGATCAAATAGGTAAGACGTAATAAGGAGGGAAGAATCATGTATAGGGGAGATTAATAATGAATACGAAAAATAATAATAACAATAATAATAATACAATGATTTATGAATAAAGATAACTGAGAAAATTACAATTGACTACGAAAGGTCATAGTCAAATTACGTCATTCAATAGTTAAGATTACGATTGATTAATTGGCCTTGATGTTGGCCAGGGGAGGAGGAGTGGTTGAATATATTTCTTCTGTACACATAGCTCCGGTTTCTTCATCCGGATGGCTATTGCTTCAGCTGTTTGAAGGACTTTCATAAACTGGCCATTTTTCGGATTATTAATTTGGATATATAATTGTAGAACCTGAAGAGAATTTATCGAAAAGAATATTCTTCGTTCAAATACTAGTCTTTTAAATACGTATATATTTGAGATTGAATGAATAGATTTGTGAGACGAATATGAATGTTGACAATCGGTTAACTTTTGATCTAAGTTTCATATCGCCAACTGTGAATGCTTTTTCGACAGACAATTGGAGAAACTTTGCTTTTATCTACAATACGGTGTATACAAAGGACTTTCTGAAGCCTTGATATCTCTAGGTCGGTCATCAGTCAGTAAATATACTGGCTTAAATTCTATCAGTAAATAAGACAAACAATGTAAAAAGTAGTCTAAAATTCTGTCCTTAAAGCAACGTATCAATAGTTGTATGCAGTTGTCACGTTATAACTACAAATAACAGTTGATCAAATAATTAATCATCAGGATAACGTAATGAAGCATATTCAGAGATATTCTGATAAGTTACTTTATGAACGTGAACCTGTATATTTACAGACAACCATAAAGACCCAACAAATATTGGTGGTTGTATTAACTTTTTGTTAGGTGGATAATTTAGGTTGCAATCGTACTTCACTTTTACATTTACAAGCCTACTATTACCCTCGATAAATTATCGCGTTATATGACTTAATAAATCTATCTTGATTTCTCAATGAAAAAAAAATTTACCATCATCCAACCTGCCGGTAATAACATAATGAAAGTTTGGAATCGATTGTAAAACTAGTTTATGTATAGATTAGTAAAGTGTTATTAAGTAGCCATATATATTCATTTACACATTTTAAGTGATTATTTATGATAAAATCTAACAAAATATTTTAAAACACATACTGCTTGTGAATTGGTACTGAACATGATGTCTTTTGGACTTGAAAATGGTTGATTTATTGTTTCATTTTCAACATTATTCACAGTTATTTGGTTAACTTTACTTAATAAAAGATAAGACAATATAAGCTGTGCAATAGATTCCAGTAGTAATGCGAAGAATAAATGAAGATGTATTTTAAATCTGAAATTTCGTAAACATCTGAAAATAACAAGTAAATTAACATTTTACTTAAAAATTAGTTCAGTTAAGAAAACTAACAGCTTTTTCAGTGAGACTGTAATTTATGGACGACCTTTGAGCAATGCTAGGATGACCTTGAGAAAGTCCACCTACTAACTAGGACTAAATAAGCGTTATAAATCAGTGAGGAATTGTGATTACGATTTACAGTTGATAGTTAAGAACTAGGTTTAGGGTTTTCATCACGAACTGACATCAGCTATAAAGTATTTAGCCAAATGAATGTATGAATTTTGCGCTAAAATTCGAGACGTGTTATCTTAAATCTGATTGGTCCGTCCATAGATTATGGATTCGCTGCATTTTCTGACAAATGTTTCATCAAGAAAATCCTTTTGAATTTTTTGCAATGTTTTAGTAAGATGTGATAACAGTGTGTTTATGCCTGTATTCTTAAATTTCTCTTTATTGGGTCGGATATTTCAAAATAGTACGAGATATTATGTTCCTTTAAATCTACAAGAATGAAAACTGCATTGACTGTGAAGCTGTGGAGAATTGAAAAAAACAATAATGACTTATTTATCGTTGTAATACATTGAATCTAATCATAGCGCGAAACGTGATAACAAGCAAAGTATTCACATAATACATATACATAGCCTTTCAATCGTTCATTGGCATTTTCCGGTATGTTCTGCAATCTAAACTGTCTTCTCCATTAAACTCCAAGCTTTCTGTCAACACCATGCTTTCAATGTACTTAAACTCTTTACTCTGTCTGACAATTACTGCAACTCAAACGTCACATTCTGTTACATGCTACTTACAAACAATCTTGTGAGTAGCGTCTACTACAATATGATGACCATCAATTGGGGTATTTTCTAAGAGAAACCATAGTATCTAAGGTTTCTGCATCGAAATGTGTCTCGGCGTTTGGATGTAAAGTTAGGCATCAGGCTGAAGTTTCTTCCAATGTTTGAAGCTTTGCGTTATTTTCCTTGTAATGGCCCTTTCATCAATTAAAACAAAACGAATGAATTTTATGAACAATATCAAATGAAAAAAATAATGTCACTCCGGAAAGTTTTCGCTTTTTCCACAAAGACGTATGTAAATAAACTTCAGAGTATTTTATTTTCAGAGGACATTTTAAGACGTAAATTCGAATAAATAGTGATTCATTTTAAATTGTTTTTAGTTGCAATCGAACATCAGCTGGAGAACCACTGAGAAACAGATGGAAAGAGTGAGCTATTTTGTTGTTGTTTTGTAAAAACCCAACTCAGAATAACACTCAGAAGATTTATGTCTCACAGTGAATGTGAGACCAGATGATATTCAGTTGTATGCATTCCCATCTCGTGATGTTACTGAAGAACATTGATGATGAATTTATACGAATATTTGTCAATGTTTAAACCAATAGTTTGACATATGTTGGACATCGATCTCGACTATCACCCTGAAGGAATCCAAACAAATGTGGTGGGTAAACCGTCGGAATTTCTCAAAATTTCATTCACTGTGATCATTACAAATGTAATTTTCATAAACAATGTATTGATGATGAACGGTTCATTGTATAAGTGATTAAACTCGACCAATTACATATTCTTCCATAGAAACGTACCATCAACTTGACTATGTCGATTTCTATCCTATGTGAATTCCTGAGTTCAAAATAATAAGGAATCTGAAACTACGACTTACATCAGTCCGTGATGAAGACTTAATTGAAAATGAACAATCTTTATAAATTCCCTACTGACAAATTTTATTATTAACAACCGTAGTTTGTAAAAAAATTAATGTTGTTGAATCCGTAAGTGATATTAGAAATAAACATATATAACCTACGTAACACCAATACTTACGGATATACTGTGTATATCAGTATAGCAGTTAACATGCTGCATATTGTAATTACTGAACCAACTGTCCCAACTCCTGTCCAGATAACCTTGGTTAATTCAATGAACTAAAACAATCATTAAATACATAATAAATAGGAAACGAATAGAATCAGTATGTATTTCTTTATGTAGCTTTTTCTATTAAACTCACTATATAAATCAAAATGTAATTGCTCTGCTATATATATATATATATATATATATATATATATATATATATATATTTATATTTATATATAATTTTCTGTTTTTATGAATTGTGGTTAATCCTTTCTCAAAATGTTAGACTAACATAAAAATAATGGAATTTTCTTTCCTTTCAAGCTAAAATATTTTATAACATTAGTTACTCATGAAAAAGTAATAATTCCACAATACAGTTGATATACTTTATCAATGATAAGGACGAAACGTAGCTTAAAATTCGGCATCAAACTAATTAGACTCACTTCAGTGTTATCGGCTTTTGTAGAACTATTGGGACTTATGTGTGATCCAATGCATTCATTATTATTTGTACATGATTTTGTAGGGCTTTTCACTAATGTATGTTCATGATTTTTCCTGAAACAATAAGAATGGAAAAAATATTGTATTTTAGTGGCCCGGGATCTGACTCCGGTTTGATCTTTTCTGATTGCTATTGAGATATACGTATCATCAATCCTACTGTATAATCATCGACTTAAATCACGTTAGTCAATAACGAAATTAAATAGGTCAAATACGAGAATGGATCTCAAGTACGTATATTCTATACAATCTGTGATCCAGACAAAATATCGAAGAAACGAAGTGAAATCACGCGCAATGAAGAAGGCTGGTGAGCCAATTCCATTTTGTCAAGCGTTAATCAATATTTATTGTCACACAAAAATAAGCTACGGACATGTGATAAATAGGATAAGAAGTGTACACATATATGCTCTCATATAAAGAGTCAAGACTGATAAGAGGATAATGATCAAAAGTGACTCAAGTAGAACGAATAGATTGACCTTTCCGAAAGCTGGAATAAGGTAATATGGGCTTAACATAATAATCGAAACTACACTATCATTATTAAAATTTACTAAGAAAAATGGTGTTTTTAGTTTTAAACATAGTTTGAATGTGGTGTTAGTATAATTACAATTGCTCTTAGTGATGTATAACAAATATTCTTCCTAAAAATGTATTCGGTCGTGATTAGAACTTGACCAATTATACTTCATTTATAAACGGAAGGAATAATTTGCCATCTACAAAAACACCAGCAACCTATAAACTTGATGGGATCTAATTGACTATGTGAAATAGATATTATAATCTTTCATAGTTTTGTTCTTCTATAATTTTCTTTATTATTATGCGAAATGTTAATTACCTTCTTCATGAGTTATGAAAAGGATATAAGACCACGTCGAGTTTGATAGGTGCTTGAAATGACTGGCATGTTTATGCAAGAAATACCTTCACTTACTGGAAGTAGGAAACCAATAACACTAAAACTATAAAGGATTAGCAATAAATAGTTAGATATAATATAATTCTACATTTGGCATAGAAATACTTTTCTTCATGAAAATGGGTAGCTTCAACAATATACAGCAATTACATTTCTATGCCTTATTTAGTAACGAACCAGCACCACAGTACATTTTTCATAAATAAATGATATTGGATAAATGCTAGAATAATATAATGAAATTGTTACTCATGATCTGAATCAAAATCACAGATTTTAAAATTTCAGAAGTGAACTAAGACCATGGTGCCTTCTACCTTTATAAATCTCGATAAACTATAACCAATCATTTTAGGAGGTTAATTTGGATTTCCTATAGTTTTAAAATTTCTGCCAACTAATTATAAATAAAAACAGATTAATTTAAAAATACTTACAAAATATTAGTTAACTTCGAATTAATTAATAAAATGTAGAAATTGTAAATAAATACACTAACAGATTCACTTGGTATTGTTTACTTGAATCTTCACACTGATGTTTAGGACTGTAATTAATCAGTCTCTTATTGGCATATGTGCATACTGTGTGCATGGCCTCATTATTGCACTAATTCACAAGCATTATGAACAAAGATGAATAGTGGCTAGCAGTGGAATCCAGGACGCGCGTTTCGTCTTATTTGGGACTCGTCAGCTGGATATACCTGAATCGCAGAGTTGTTCACTCTGGGACTCGAACCCAGTACTGTTTGCTACAAATGCCATCACGTTATTCACTTAGCTACTGAATCCTGATAACCACATAATTAGAATTTCAGGAATCAGATAATTAAGGTAACAACGCTTTTTAAAGATATGAATTTTAATTACAGAGTAAAGTATTTATAATTAATAAAACAGGCACAAATCTTGAATCACATTTGAAGTAAATTATTATATTTAAAAACAAAGAACAAATGTTTTCCATTTATTCATCAACAGATGTTACAATTCTAAAGCAAAAATGATCAAATTACATTGGCCAAAACAACATCTACATAAATAAGTTATGAGTTAGTACACGTAAGTGCCTTCATTATAAAGGTCATTCTAGCAAGGGGTAGTAAAGTTTGTTGTAAGCTGTCGAATTGCAATCAGGGAAATAAAATAAATCACATGAATATAATCTGTATCGCAATGGTTGAGTTAAATGTAGTAATGTTGATAACAATAATAAGGTCATCTGTATATAATATGTATTAAGAGAAATATGTTCAGTGTAATTATGATAATGATCGTAAGAAATTCACATGAAATTGAAAATAAGAGAAGGGAAGAGATAAATTTAAAAGTGTTAGGAGTTAAGCGCATATAGCATATGGCTTATGTACAGGGTGACCCACAGATAGATCGTGATAAACAGAGATGGTGAATATGACTTTTTTGAATACATAAGAAGGAGTTAATCCCGATGACCTCAGTTATTCAGAAAATCCTTAATCTTGTTAATTTTAATAGATTGTTCGATATTTGACATGAAATTATAAGAGATTTTCCTAATCAAATGTGATGTTTACCATTTACTATATGAGAAAGAATATGTTTTGTATTTCTGAATAAAATCATAAATTTCATTCATCACTAAACTTAACCATTTTTCAAGGTAGGATACAATTAAAACAGACCGAATTTCGATAACTAGCAAAGAAACTTAATCAACGCATGTATACAAAAAATCATACTGTTGTCATGCTTGGATGTAAAACAAATTATCACTTACGTTAAAGCTTTTAGTTTACTAAAAATGTAGCTATAACTGATTCTGTTGATCTAAAGTAGGTTTCATTTCTCAATATGTTGTGCCCTGAGAAAAATAGAAGCTGAAATTACATCCCATAACATAACTATAGTGCACTAGGATGACCTTCACTAAAATCTCCGTTCGTCTATTTAGATGCTTATATTGCAGTGAAGAGAACACCAGTGGGGACAACCGAATGTATTTAACAAGAAATTACAGTACATGTTAATAAAATCTAACAACCATATATAAAATGCTCAATTTGCAAAATGTCCGTCAGTTGTCTCAAAATGACTCGGACTTCATCGTTCTTGCATTTTCACACTAATTGCATTCTGTCTTTATTCTTTACTGTTCGATCTTCTTGTCTCTCTGCTGCCAGACATTATGTTCACGACTAACATCGTATAATACTTGTGTCTACATAAGTAGCACACACCACAATATAATAAATTAAACCAGGTTTATAAGAAAACAACGAATAAAGATAAAATGAATGTTGACACATTTCCTGTGTAATCATTTGAAAATCTGTCTACCAATTTACGAAAATAATACTATAGCTTGTAGAGTAAATTTGGCAGTGCAAAATTTCTAATATTTTATAGGGATTTTATGACAGTAACCCACCAGCTGGTTGTAGGCATAGAATGATTTACTAATTTGGTTTGGATGTTGAGTTATATATTAATGACAGAGAATATTCAAAACTCAGGTGTTTGTTTTAAATATTTCCTGTTTACTAGAAAGAAAGGGTTTAATTTTGAAACATCTATAGTTTGTTGAGTATTGTAAAATAAACAGTGAATTCTAAAGTCCATTACTTAGAAGCTCCTAATGCATATTATACCATTAATCCAGTTTTCTTTCAATTTCACCTTTCATTAGTGTTAAGAAAAATCGGCCTAACACTTAAAATATCTTATATAGCGTGAGCGTGATTCACTATTGCTGAAACCTACAAATGGCAATACCTTAAAAGAGATTCTATAAAGAATAGGGGTTCAAACATTATTTAGGTCTCTAGTTATTCCTGGTTTGAAGATTACAAACAGCACATAATACTCAGTATTTAATGACCATGAATGAAGAAGTGCATGTTCATTCACGTCCAATTCCGTTTAACTTTGTTCAAATCAGTTGGGTTTGGAGAAAGCAAGAACAAAGATTGGTGCACTTGGCTTTGGCTGTTAACAGAGAACGATTCCTAACTTTATCTCAACTAGACGTAACTACCTCCCTATATTAATAAATATAAGTAAATATATTTCGATACATTTACACACCAACTAATCAAATATCTATGACGAGGAATGGTTTTTGTTGCGTTTAATTTAATTGTTTCTAAATGTAGTTCGGAATAGAACAGAAGAAAATATTTGAGTGAATCAACAAAAATTTATGCAAGAAAACACATTTATATTACATTTATTCAATGAGTCAAACATTTTCAATAATAACTGAAGTCAAATTATAACTCAAACAATCAAGACTTCACTAAAACCTATATTTGAACTAATTTGCTCTCATAACTATTTAGTGAGTTTATTAAATATGAGCATGGAAAAAAATTAAAATGAATAAATTCTAATCAGTAACACTATCGGTATCAGGAAATATTTTCAACATTGTTGCTAAACTGGGTGAAAGATTCAGTAAACGTCCAGCTTTGAGATCAACAAGCTGGATTCCGTAAGGATGAATCGTGCACAAACCAAATCGCGACAATACGTATCATCGTTGAGTAGTCAATTGAATGGAACTCATCACTATACATCAACGTCCTTGAATATGAGAAGGCATTCGATAGTGTGGATAAGAGGGCATTGCGGATACTTCTTTGACATTATAGTGTGAGTAGCTAAGAAGATTATCAACACGATCCGGGATTCATACGATGGACTACACTGCAAAGTAGTGCTTGAAGGACAGCTGACAGACTCATTCCAAGTGAAGACCGGAGTCAGACAAGGTTGCCAACTCTAGAACTTTCTCTTTCATCTAGCGGTCGACTGGATTACGAAGACCTCGACATCTGAGGGAAGCACGGAATGGACAGTTTAGTTGCAACTAGACAATTTGAACTTCACAGGTCCCCTAACTCTTCTCTCTCATACACACCAACAAAGGTAAGCCAAGATAGACAATATAGCAGCAGCTAAAGGTTCTAGGTCTGATTCCCACATGCGGGGTCGTGGATTTGTACTTCTGAGGAGTCTCAAACTAGGATGAAATGGTCGTCCATTGCCTCTAGGTTTTCGAGGAAAGTCTAAAATTGATCCATTTATGATTTTATTGAAAAAGTTATGACTTCACTAAGCTAAAAATTTAGTTTAGTCAGCTCTTGAAATCAATACAACATCTACGGATAATAGTTATTCATGTTAGCTAATATTTCAAGTCAACCACTGACGAAAAAGTAATTTTTAAATAGAATTGACTTTTTATTTTAGAAAGTCATTCTATGTTTTATTGAGTTTCTAAAGAAGAGTATCCCCACACTTCTGTAAGTTCTTTAGTACTGTAGAAAGACATTTTGTAATTAGAATTTAATGTTAAGTCGATAATTCTAACCAGTCATCACAAAGATAGTGAAGAGCTTGATCAGTTTATCGTGTTATGTTGACACATGAGACCAAAGATTCTATTTTTTTTAATGTCCAATCACAACATAAAAATTTAAAACACAGGTTTACACTGTTATCTAAAACTACACGATACATTTCTCAAAATGACCACCTCAGTAGATGTCCAGACACTGTTTTTATGGACATTCATAGGCGTCCTCTGTAGTAAACACCGTTAGTAATACAAATGCATCATTCGCATAAACGTTTTGTCGACTTAGGGAATATTAGTGAAAACTGATAACTTTTACATTGTAAAACATTGAATAATTTTTTAAATAAGTTATTCTATTAACGATGTAAAATGAACATTTGATTTATTCATCCTGGTATTGGTATTGTGGTGAATGAACACTCGTATGGGGGAGGGTGTCAACCAATTTATTTTAATACAAAATTACAGAATTCTCTCATAAAATGTGAAAACCGTAGATTATATACTTCATCTGCAAACCCTCCATCATTTGATTCAAACTTTATCGTTCCTTCATTGTTATTGCAATTAATCTCGGTTTACATTCTCGTTCACTTTGATTCAATTTTCCCAACCTTTTGTTGTCATGCATTTCACTTTACTGATGTTATATACTACTTATGTCGACATAAGTACTACTTTATATATGAAAATACTAAATAAATAAATTACATTATCAGATATGACCGATAGTATAGGCAAAGTTCGAACTTGGTATTAGGTATTCAGCTACTAGGTTCTGAATAACTATATAGATTGATTAGATCAAATACAAAATATTAAAAAAAATAAAAATATTTGTTTCTAACTACTCAAAGTTTATTGTTCTGTGTGTAGCGTAATAGCTGATCATGTAACTCTGGTCTGTGGTAAAAAAAGTATTCTCGATAAAAATTAGATGTGGACAATTTGAAATTGATCATTTTAAGCGACCCAACATAAGTATTAAGCCATAAATTAAAGAGAACTCACATGAAAGCTTTTAAATTTAGAAGAGAAAATTCCTTTCTCAAATATTTAAAAGTTGCAGTTTCTTCAAAATAGAAACTGAAAATATTTTCATTATGTCATATGTTTGGGAATTATTTTATAACAAATATAATTGTTCTATAGTGATTGGATGAAATGTTATATTAAATCTAATTGATTTATCCTATTCTAATGACGATATGTGAATTGTTTTCCCCTATTGTTATATTCTAAAGAAAAATAAATGAATAGTAACTGTTAGGACCTATTTATAAACTATTATTACAAATATTCTTATTGGATAATTATTCACTAACTAGATTATATATGTATATATTCGTATTCCTTTGATCATAAGCTTTCATTTGACCTATTGATTGTTATTATACGATTTATTATTCTTAAGTTATTTTTAATCTATGAGTTATAGTCTCTCACAATCACAATGACTTTTGTTTTGATCTTGTATAATTGTTATTTTCTATTTTATCGTATGATGAGGTCCTAATTGCTTGTATCTAAACTGAGTATGTATGAAATACATGATTCATACAGTGAAGGCCAAGATTATTTTCTGGACTCAACAGGTAGAGCAAGGCAAGAAGAACCAATAAATATTCAGAGTTGACTCTAGGCTGCTCGTGCTGATCAACGCGTTATTGGTTTTGCACATGTCGTTGTTCTGAGTAGCCGTTTTGTCACATGAAAATTAACAATGTCGAAAGAAATAACACTTAATAAGTTATCTAATTTACATCTTTTCGAAATAAAACAGCTTACTGATGAAAACTATTTGTTGATCATAATGTGAATAATAAATGTGGTTGCTATGCAGAATGGCACAATAAATTGCTTCAAATGTATTTGTTGATTTAGAAAAATACAATAAACATATTCAATCTTTAAATGTAGATACTTTCATATTGAATACGTGCACGTTATTTATATACTGAAAGAGAATTGTGTTTACTTGTCTAACAAATTCTGACTGCTGTATTGTTAAATTTATAAAATTATTAGAGTAGAAGAGACTAAACTGATTTGGAAATAAATGAACATACATTGTCAAAAACTATTTATATGAAATCTAGTTTCATAGATCACAGTTTTCTTGTCGTGTTTAAAAAAAAAACACCCATTAACTGTCAACTTGTTCACAAGCAAAAGTAAAAAAAATTATGCTCATAAAGGAGTTTTTTTAATGTCATGTGTTCTACTTTCACTAAACTGTTTCAAGTTTAAAAAAGAAACAAGAACATCGAGACGAAAAATGTCTGTGGAAATACAAATTTCAAAGAATATATCACTATCAACGAATTAATTATCAAGCTGTACAATCGGATATATATTACTTGAATAATTTTTTCTGGTTAGCGTTTTTTTAGCTAACCCCATACCCAACGCTCCTCCTTTATCCGGGATTGGGACCGGCAGTAGCCCCAGAGGGGCTCCAGGCGAAGTTCTCGTATATATATATATATATATATATATATATATATATATAATGAAATTAAGCCTCAAAACCCGTAAATAACTACCTATATTATACACAACCAGATAATAAATTCATCGAAAATAGATTTCTTTAGTGAATAACTAACCTTGTTCGAAGTCGAGAATTCATCACTGCAAATATATTCCAATTTAAGCCTGCTGAATAGCTAAAATTTTATTATATCTATATGTCTACATCCGAACAATTGAAGTTTCATAAATTTACTTAACATGTAAAATGTTGCATAGTTAATAGAGTGTAATGTTTATTTAAAAATGAACTTAATATGAGCTTTGCTTATTATATATGCACATTAATGCATACTATAAATGAGAAAAAAATTAGTTAAAAATAAAAAATAATTTTTAAACGATATAACCGTTAACTATTGACATTTGGAAACAATATTCAGTTAATATGTAAGCAAAAGCAGCGTAAGTATAATTAATTGCAAGCCCCTGATTTCATAAAATTTTACCATTGCAAATTATTCGTTGAGATCATGAGTCAATGGAACCTAGACCACCATGGAAAACCTGGAAGCACTGGATGGCCGTTTCGTCATATTGTTGGACTTCTCAGCAGTGCGCATCCACGATCCATCATCGCGAGATTCGAATCTAGCACCTATCGGCATCGTGCACGAACGCTTAATCTCTAGACCTTTGAGCCAGCATCGAATGATGTTAATGTCTAACTTCGAGCTACCGTCCGCCTTTAGTGAGTTACTACCTCACAACAGGTCCGGTTGAACTCCACTGGTCATTGCTTCTCACTAGAACTCCTGGAAATTAGTTTTATTTCGTGATAATCCCTTTAAAAATAATCCTTATTTATTAAATTAGTAAAAGTGTTTATCGTTACATTAAATACTTTTTTCATGTGTATCAACAGTAAATTATTAGTCAATAAGAAAAATAGAGTCATATATTTGTAATCTAAACAAATTGTATTTATGATTTTCCATTTAATTTTGCATTGAATGGATTTTGTGGTGAAAGAGAAAGCAGTTGAATAAGTATGTCTATTTTCGCTATATGACTAAACATATTCATTCACAATATTCTATACAACCTCCTTATTCATCGAATTCTTAATAAAATTACGAAAACTGGAATTCTTGAGATAAATGACAATGTAACTAAAATTCATTTAATTCAAATGCATTACACTGCAAAAATAACTCCGCCCGTAGCTATTCTAGGGTCACTGTCGGCCCCAAGCTCGCGTAAAGGATGGTTGAGAATTGGGTCACTAACCCCATCCCGTAGAAAACAACCTTGCTAAACAAACGCTTAACAGAAACAAACAATTTCAACTATTTAAGCTCTGTCTTAGGAGTTGAAGGATCACTATTCAGAAGAATTATGACACTTCATGTTGAAAGCCGAGATTCTTCGGAAATCTTAGAAAAGACCAAAGAATACACTGCATCGGGAATTGGAAGCAGGCATCAAAAGGTTGAATAACAACTGGAAACACCTGGAAGGATTGTCCAGAACAGAGCTGGATAAAGAATGGTGGTGGTTGGCCTACATTCCCCTATGAGTATTAACAGGCGTAAGTAAGTAATACTACGTAGATATTCTCGACATGAAATGTTTTATAATTCGTGCTTTACAAAATGGATGAATCACGGTCAACTATTGTTAAGCCTACTAAACCTGCACGAGAATTCTAACAGTTTCCTATGCTTTTTATCCAAATAAGATATAAATAGCAAAGCACCTAATTTCTAAGATATAATAAAGTCTAGCGGTCAACCTTTTGATGAAAAATAATTTTTTTTAATTTAATAACTTTGTGCAATGTGAATATGTTCCTCATACTCAGTTAATATTGGATCTATAGAAACTGTTGAAAATGTAAGGTCTTCAAACATACATTCACTTGGTGCTGCTTAACTTGTATCTTCCCATTGTTATTTAAAACTGCAATTGACTGCAGTTATGAAGATACAAGTAAAACAACACCAAGTGATTTTAAATTTCACCCCATTGCACAAGCAGGTGACTATCGGGACTCAATAGCTAAAAGAATAACGTGATGGCGTTTGAAGCAAATGGTACTGGGTCCGAGTCTCAGAGCAAACATCAATTCTGCGATGCAGGTACGTCCAGCTGACGAGTCCCAAATAGAACGAAATGCCCGTTCTGGATTTCACTGCTAGCCACTATCCATTTTTGCTTACTAAACATAGTTTCCGTTTATATTTGAAACGTCCATAAGAGAAATTTACAATCTTAAGATCAAATCAGTAAGTCCCATTATCTAAATTTTCTGACTTCATTTTATTTAAAATATTGATCTGTCAGTTTCCAACAAATAATTTTAAACTAAATAAAAGTGAATTTATGATCCTATTAGTAAATAGCTTTTTCGATATTTCCAAAGTTATTAGTTGCTCAAACTACCATATAAAATAAACATTTACAATGATAAGAGATCCTTGATCATCAATGATCTTCCAAATCATATCTTCCCATGAAGAGTGGGAACTATCTTCCATAAATTTTTATAAAAGTTAATTAAAACACTCATTTCTCATCATCATAAAGAACAAATGAAAATGTTTCCTTAAAAAAGTATTTTTTAGGAATATCATCTGTTCACGAAAACGGACAATTCAGTTTTCTCGACAGTTGTAATCAATAAAAAAAAGAAAAATCTTTTAAAAAATGCATCAAATTATAAAGTCAAAAACATTTTGTATTTTACTATTCTCCGGCCTATGCTTCATCACGAGGAGTAACAGGCGAATCAGTAATTGTAATTGGTAATTTTACTATTCTCACAACATTATTGATTATATTTAATTAAATAAGTCAATAATTATAAAGAAGATTATTTGGGAAATATTTATATTTTCTAACTAAGGACTGTATACTATATAAATGCTATATATACGGTGAAGTATAAACATCCTATCAAAGATAACCAGTGGGAATAATAAATATTTTAATTACTTCTTATTTGATAATAGAAACTGTTACGTAATATTATAGTAAATCCAATCAGACAAACTTAAGAAGTAATGTAGTGAAGGAGAACACAAGTGAGAACAATTAAATGTAATTGGTCATAAAATTACAGAACATCTTAATAAAATCTAAGAACCACACAGTAAGTTCTTCATTTGCAGAATGTTAAACAATCGTTTCAAACTTGACTGTTCTTTTTTAAAATGTCATTCAATCGTCTCAGACTTCATTGTTTCCTTATTTCCACAGCGATTGTTTACTGTTCTCGTTGTGTTTTCTTCACTCTTCTTAACCTTCTGCTAGGTATTTCACCTTCAAGTGATGATACATAGTACTTATACCTATCGACATTAGTAGCACACACCACAGTAGGGGATTTCTGGGTTTGTAAAAACTATACTATAGACTACAGGTGAAATAAACAGAACAACTTTGAGATATGTGCATCGACGAACTGTGGACACTTTTATTTGATTATGACAGATATTTAATATTTTAAAGAAGATAAGAATGTTAATTTCTAACCATTGACCTAAGATCTTAAAAGATAATACGCAAACATTAGTTCTGTTGAATATTCTTGGATATCAGTATTTTTTTCTGTTCTGTGGTTGTGGTTATTTTATAATTAAATAATGTAAAAACTTCCTGTTGAGTATGAGAAGAAATAAATCATGTAACAGGTACATCAAATTTATAGATTGTGGTGAATAAAACTGTGATTCCTATTTCAAAAAACAAACATTAACCTGGTGGGAAATGAGTTAATCTTGACAAATCTCCAATAGATTGATTTCATAATATATTCATTTTATTTATCATATTTAGGCTGGAAAAACTTGTCGTTGACTAACATCATCTAGAAGACCAATGAAACATGAGAAATATTCTATCTTAACTTGGGACTTCCTAATAGTGTCTATGCTATCTCACATGGAATCGAGCCTTAAAGTTCCAAATCTCTGGGTAAAAGCAATACACTTATTCTGGTAAGTTTAAACCAATTAGCTCAAATTTCTACTTTAGTTAGTTAATGATATGGTTTGACCAACAGTTAATATCACTCAGGCCTTATGCCAAGCGAACTGAACTAATTACTGCTTGTCACTCGAAATGTTGAAAATCTACTCCCAAGTTAGTGGCCATTGATTGACATTGGAATAAAATATTTGTTGCGATCAAATAAATTAAGATATAGTTATTGTCAGGGATTTGTAAATATTGAAACAATGATGATATTTAATGAATTATTTCGGTATACGTCTAACGAAATTAAATACATGAATAACTAATTCATGCTATTATTGAAAGGACCCTAAAGTTATGTTATTGTTAAACATCTACCAACACAAATTAATCTACTTTAATATATGTTATACAGAATAAACATTAGAAGTAATTATATTTTTCAAAATCATGTCACACATTCTTCTGAGTGTTTTCTTCTCCAGTAGTCTCTTTATGAAATTTCACGATATTCAATCACCTATGAGTAAGAGTAGGTTTGCTGAAATCAGAAACTCTAGCTTTTTAAATAGTAGTTTTGGTTCCCTTGTAAAATTATTCCTAAGAATAATTCTGTACCTGAATCTTTTTCAAAAGTTGAAAATTCCCTCAAACGCAAAGTATTTATTAGTAGTAACAATAAATCTTTTTCAGGTTCTTCGAAATACTTTGGACTAGCTATGCGAAAAATAGTCGAACTCATCAATCATAAAAAAGTCACTACAGTATATCTATACTGTACGAATTGAAAGTACTAATAAAAATTATGGCTGATATTTTAACTCTATCCTACATTCAACTTTAATTTTTCTATCTACAAAATCTAATAAATCACTTTAGTACAGATGTTATTCAATTTCATTTAACGTATTCATCCTCTGTATCTTTGATAGAATATATAACTTCGTTTTACAGATTTCTGGTAACTTTCAATTCAGCAGTCAACAAATGTTGTTTTGTGAGTAATATATATCCTATCTCTTGGGTGAAACTAAAGCCATAGGTTGTACAATTTACATGTTTTAAATGTGCACTAAATCTTTTGTCTTATCGTATTAACAGAGTGCCGTGCACAAACCGTGATCAGACATTTTCCGGGAACTTAAATTAAATGGTAGTATTTTTACTCAAGAAATTCCTAAAGTGATTCACGCCAATCGAGGAAAATGGAGATTCAGTTGCTACACATGTTTATCGTTATAAATTTATTCGAAAAATCAATATTATGTGAATTTTGATCGTTTTCCACTAGTTCTTCCATACATGCTACATAAAACATTTTCATCTAGATACACATATCACAAATTAATGAAATAAAATGTCTTCACTGGTTAAAAATCAAGTTTAAATGAATGAATAAATGAGATAATTGTTCACTTACTTAAAAAGGATACAAGTAGATTTAATGGCAATGGAATGTTTGCTAAATCGATCAAAATGCCTTACCCCAAT